CCGAGTGAAAACGTCCGAGAACTTGGAGACCATGTCATGCAGGTGTGTTGCCTGTGTTGCTGTCAGTTGGTGAAGGTCTTCCTCGCAGGGGTTGGTTGATTACTCCCGTCGGAGTGTGTTCGAACGAGCGGTTCTGTTGGAGATCGCGACGCAGGTAGCGCGGCGCACAGCGAAGATTTATCCCCTACGTGAAGATTCTCTCAGGTTCATGCTGTGAGTGTTCGTGAAATCAATGGTATATTCCGCATGCTTGACCACGAGAAGCAGGGCATCATATCCAAGCAAACTTGTGTGACCGGTCTTGTGAAGTGAGCCTCGCCGCCTCTCCCCCCGCACTAGCGGCGAGATGTTCCATCAGGCTTGGCATCCCCCAGCGTACGGCCGCGCGCGCCGTAGAGGCTATGGACTTGGACGGCGACGGGAGGTGAGCTCCTACGACTGCTCAGCTTGTCAAGGCCTGTCAGGATTGACTACACTGAGCTCATTGCTGGCATTCTCTGCTTATATGACACTCACCTTGATGGAAGGCTCTGGAAGGCGTTCTCGAAACTTGATCTTAACGGCGATGGAAAGCTCGACCGGCATGAAATTAGAAAGTTACTCCAGTAGGATTTTGTATTATGTGTCTCCTAGTGAGGGTCTGCGATCTCTCAGATCTGGCGAGGTTAGCCAGATGGGGCTGGTCCCAGCACAGATGGAGATCGATGCCATTATACAGGAGATGGACACCGACCGAGACGGGTACGCCTTGTTGGCAGGGGCTGTGATTCTTGAGTGGCCTTGACAGGTTGATAGAGTACTCCGAATTCAAAGCACGGTTTTCGCCACAACCAAAGCACTAAGTTCTATACCGTCATGTTGTCCATCTGTTGTCGTAGCTTGATACTGTTTGGTTGTCAAATCGATCGTCAGGGCGGGCGCGCTTAACTAGACGTAGGTTTTCTCCTGAGGTAAATGCTGTGCTCTATAGCGATCGCTGCGGTTGTACTAGCGTTCGCCCTCTTTGGATGTGATGATGTTCACACGGGCTCTTGTGAATTCCGTGGTGAAACGCGAAAGGGCTCGTTAATCGTCATTGCCCGTGATGGCGATGTCAAGAACGGCACCTTTCATCTGAGTTCATTTCAGTGCGGTATTAACCCGCATGCTACCACACTATCTCATGATCATACACAACGGTGAGTATACTCCTTCGTTGATTCACAACAGAGTTCTTGTGGCAGACATACGTTGTCGGAGCTCCCGAGTGACTCTCAAGAGAATATCGGCAAGATGTTCGCGGCTGAAGGACCAAGAAAGGCTGAGACGTGTCGAGAGGTTGCAGAGGAGTTGAGGAAGGAAGCTTCAGGACCGGTAAATCAGTGACTAGTCGAAAATTTGTCTCACTTGTCCCAGGTATATATTAAGTTGTTCGACCATGAGCACGCCTCGATCGACAGAATACTGGATCGATTGTGTTCGTTGGTGGCATCGGCAAACGTTGGACAAAGACGAGTTTCTGTTCTCGGTGATTCTATGACCACGCCCGAACAGGCAAATCTTCATATGATAGCTCTTCATAATGGAGGCTGACATCCGTGCAGGCTAGCGATGATCTGTTGTGAATGTTCATGTATTGTTCGTGTACTTGTTCTGTTGCCCATGCTGATTCGAGTGCTTGGCAAGTGTTAGTGCAAGGCCAGTTGTGAGATTGTATTTGTTGGGTTTGAGTATGAGATGAATCCCACCTCTGATCATCATCATGATGGTGATGAAACATCGGAATCCGCCATAACATAGCATAGGGAATGCACTGTACAATATGGTTGGATAAACAGCCTTCTGCCGGAGTTGAACCGACGACCTCCCGCTTACTAAGCGGGTGCTCTACCAACTAAGCTAAGAAGGCTACACATGTCGTTAACTGCGTGTTACACTCTGGACTACTTAGTATCGGGGAAGAAAGTATACGTTCGATACAGATGATTGTACGAGCTGAGCATTCAACGTTCTGAGCCAGCCATACGCAGAAAGCCCGTAGCCAGACGACAGGAACATGGTACAGAGAAATCGCTACAATCCTTGGACACTGCATTACGCAGTATGTGAATCTCCATGACTACGGATGATGATTTACATGTTTAAATTTGATTTCATCCACCCCTCACTCAGCATGGTTCTGTTGGGAAGGGGAAGTGGTACCCGCTCGAGTATACCCGCACACCAGCACGCATCGAGAGGATATTAGAATACTATCCCCTCCAATGAGGTCTCTAATCATATCAACCCGTGAACTGCAGTGCTCAAAGCCAAGAGAATAGTACAGAGACATATTCTTAAAAGTGCTTACAAAATTCGGGGCCAATCTCCAACAGAAATCTCGCCACCTCCGCGTGATAGAGGAACCTACATAGCGCGACGATTGCTGCTGTGCACAGGGGGAACTCACCTGGTTGAGAAGCAGTGGAGGCGCAGTGACGTTGTTCCCCGGGTAACAACGACCGGACCCCGGAGACGATTTTACCGAGAGCACCTTCAACCCCTCGCGCGAGCTAATTAAAATCAATACTGCACTTTTTCCAACTCCCACTCTATCACGATAGCATGTCCTGTGCTGCCTTCTCAGCAGTTCGGCGAGACTTCATTTCC